GAATACAAACTGAGAGAATAATAACAAAACACATTCATTTTTTTATTTGATCAAGTTTTTATAGGGTTCAAACCAACATGTCTACTGAACAATTTGGTACCGATTGTTGATTCATTAAATGCGCTCACTATATATTTTAAAATTATGATTCTATAACCCCATAAAATAGCTAGCTCACTTTATTGAATTTACCTACTGCGCCGCCACATATTATATGATTACCCGCAAACTGTAAACTATAGTGTTATTTAGGTAAACCTTTCACATAAACTTAATACTATTATGTATGTATAATGCTTATAATACATTTCAAACAGTCCCCCTTTGTTCTTCACCCTTTATCAATACATTTAAATATTAATTTAAGAACGAACAAACACAATTATTATCTGTATATTATAAATTTTAAATAGAAATTTATGCCACTCTGCAGTTACCTGTTATTATAACTGTTAAATGTATTTTGTCTGTTTAGTAGTACATTTTAGCTTTAATTATTTCTGGACAATATTTTACATAAATTGTTACATTTTTGTGCTTCTCCTTCTTCTATTCGAATGGATGATTTATACACCAAAAACCGGTATTCCGTATTTTAGTATTGAGTCTATTCTGCTAATATATGGTCATTGCCTTCTGATGTACCTACCTAAATATTTGAATAGCAAACAATAATTAGTTGTTATTTTCTTTTATTATATATAAATTGGTCAGGTTGCTGTATTTTATATTTCGTATGGCTATAAGTATCACCTGACTTCATTCTACTGGATAGATAGTGTTACTGACGAGTTCCTATGCTTGTATTTTACCTACCTTGAGGTCATTATATGCGTAAAATTGCTTTTATCGTGCAAATCTAATTAACAATACCTCTTCAATGATAGATCTATTTTATCCCTACTTTGCATTTAAGTAGAGATATTGGCAAGTGCTTGTGTATTAATATATACATTTATTCAACATCTCTATGCTGGCTAATAATACGGAAATATTTATATGATTATAACTGAATAAATAGGCCAATGACTGAAGTTAATGTCATGGTATGATTATAAAGAAAGTAGAATCAATAAACAATATTACATAATATTTTTGAATACTACAAAAATCACGTGTTATGAATGAAATATATTAATTTGCGATCCATAGGTATGCTATGAGAGACGATTTGAGTGAAAAAAGTCACCCACCTATATTTGGGAGGTAATTTGTGTTATATCTTATATTAATTGTATATATTCACATCCAATTTTCATTTTTCACCGCCGTAATCACACCATGTGTCATGTTAATGCGAGAAACGTCCCTCTCAAAAAACTTGATTTTACCGTAAGCAGATTACAGAGAGATTACGTAGATTTTGACCATTAATTTTTCTTTCACACAAACTATACATATTATTATCACACATGCTGTCTACACGAAAATATTTATTTTATATTAACATTTGATTTTTCCAAACATTTTTATAAAAACTTAAATAATTTTTCAAGTAATCAAAGAACACAAATGGTTTTTAATACAATTTTGATTGATATCTAACATTTTAAACTTATTTATATAGGTAGTCGACATTTTTTAAATTTGATATAAATTATAAATTAATGCTAAAATATTATTTACGCAATTTGTATTCTGTTACTACTCGGAAAAATTATTTCAGTTTTATGAAAAGGTGTGAAAAATCCGAAGTTTACATAATATGTAATATACAATTTTTTTTTACACGATATACACGTATTGTCACACGATCATTTGTGAGTACCTAATCTCCTTGTAATGTGTATGCGGAAAATCAAAATTTCCTAGTAGGACATTCCCGATTGACATGAAGTGATTAGTATGGTAAAAAATGGAAATGTGCTGTAAACATACAAAAATATGTTCCTGTAACTCATGTTACAAATATAAGATTTATAATATTATCGAAATAACTATTGAAACGACGAAACGTCATTGTATCTTAGAATAATGATTATACCTACCCATATGTTATTATTGTATGAGCTTTGTTATTAATTTATTTCTGAATAACAATCACTACAACAACAACAATAAAGTATAACACTGAGATTAAACTTGGTGTTCGAGTTTCCTTAGGATTTCTTAGTATACGATAAATGTATAATATTATCATACTACTAGGTGCTATATAAGTTAAATTTCTCGTTTTAACAACTGAAGTATTAAAATTATATTGTATACACAGCACAATATAGGATTTGTTTACTTTCTTTAGAAGCAAAGTTTTTATAAGGTAATACATAATGTATAATAATATTATATATTTATATGTATAACGTATATTTGTCACTATGTACAGAGAATTTTATACGTAATGACGATAAGTATTAAGTCCCTAAAATTAATATTTTTTTCAATAATTCTATAATAAAAATAACAAATAAAACTGTTATTTTCGTTTAAATGCCCAATTTTTTCGAAATTAAACTTCAAAAAAAGGATGCCGCATAATATTTATTTTAAATATTTTTACAATAGTGAAAGACCAACATATGAATAACCTTGAAATAAAAGTTCAAAGCTTAAGCTATATAAATTGAAAATGCATTAAATCTCAGAAAAAAATTTCAAATGTTCAAGATGATGACGAATTGTGTTGAACTTTTAAGTTTAAATGCTTTAAAAAAAAATTTGTTCATGTATTTCTAATATTTTTAAATAGCTATACGTACAAGTTATTAGGAACCATGCAGTATATTTCCAAGAAAAATAATTTATTAACATTTATAGAAAAAATATTATAAGACTCAAAAATTCCAAAAGCCTATCGCTTATTTAATGTATATCTGTAGTGTAAATAGCTCTAAATATTTATCATACAAATTTTAAAATATCTATTTTTATTATGAGGTGAAAATACTTACGACAGCTTTATAATTTCTTAAAGTATTATTGTAACTTGAAATTATAAAGTAGGTCCCTACTATTAGAAATACAAATTATATCAAAATATATATTTTAATTTTTTGTATTCCCAGGAACAGTCCTGTAACCTCGTGAGAATTCCAGGGAACATTCTTGGGAATTTCCGGAAGTGCCAACCTTAAATGTAGTACATATATAGTAGCGAATTATTTCTATACAAAATTTGTTCAGAGTATTTCATATTACATATTACATTTTCATTAGGTTTTCATTCTTTCTTATTTGGAATTTTTTCTTTTAGCTGTCTTGAATTTTTACTTGTCGCTATGTCCGGAAGAAACATGATTTATGACTACTAAAGATTTTATACTAAACATTTTCTTGTTTTGCTTCATAACGTACACGGGGATAGTTTGCATTCCTATTTTAAAAGAGAATTACATGAGTAATTTTTTATAAAGAATTTGTACTTACATTTCAATTATTTTATCAATTTTTTTTCGTTACAGTAGAAAAAAATGTAGAAAAATGACAAAATGGTTTCACATAAATAATATGTTCTATAAACCTTTCTGGGTGACAAGAGATTCATCATTTCTTTTCCCAAAATAGTGACTTACACATAGTTGATAAAATTTACAATCAACGATCATGATTTTTTCAAGAAAACAGTTTTTCAAAACTTATATTCTTTATGGAAACTTAATTTTAAAATATTAATTTGTATTTATCCTGTCATTATAAATTCTATTTACCCACTTATCAGTTTGAATTATAAGTATAGCTAGTAGATACTTTTTAAATATTAATACATTATTGATAATTTTTTTTTCATTCATATTAAATTTTTGAAATGTAATTTATATAATAATATCAAATATAGTTAATAATTTTTTTTTAAATACTATACTTGGTTTTTACTTAATTATATTTATAAATAGGAAGTTAAAAAATACTATTTCAACGGTGATCGATTCTCATCATAAAAATACGTTTAATGATATTATCAACCTACTGACTATAAATAGCTTTGGTACATTAACTGATCAAATCCAATGGATATTTTTATTTCTTTGCTAAATGTTAAGTAGCTACTTTAAACTTCTTTACAATGAAAATTTCTTCAAATATCAAATATAAAAAAATTACCATTGATTTTTTCATAAGAAATATTTATGAAAAGATAAAAAAATATGAGACTGTCAAATATTTATCTAGTTTGAAATGTTTAAAATTTGAGATTTTGATAACTATACTCAACATTAGTGATTTCAAGTTTATACGAATATATTTCATCAAACTTCGTGTTCTGACTTTTGAAGCAATAATAATAATGTAATAATATTTCAATATAGTGTTAGTTGTTGGAAAATGTAAAATGTATATAGTACAGCTTCCTTCTCATGTTGTATAATATAACAATATTATAACGATTACCGAATTCAGAAATTCACCCACTTCATAGATAATTGCTTTGGGACATTCAACATTTGTCGCTATGACTTTTAAGCAGTTTAAATTTATATACAAGAATATTTAAATGTATCCAAAACTGATTCAACTAATGAATAATATATTGTTCATCACAAGTGTCATATCTGTCTGAAAGAAAATATGAACTTTAATCATTTCCAAATTCCAGCCAATTAAAATTTGGTTGTAACAATGTGATCATCATCAATTCAAAGGGGTATCAATGTTGTTTAGTCATATATAATTTATACTCCGTATAATAGTTAGAGTTTGGAAATACCTTTGAATGAATATATAGTTTTGTTACATTGTGTAAGTCAAACGCAAGCCCTAGTTCCGATTGTATGGATACTAAATAAAATATTACTGTTATTTTTTGGTCCGAAAATATAAGACATAGTCACATAGGTAAAGGGTATATATAATAATTTTGATTTTTCTTGGTGTTCATAATTCATATGACTATCATATTTTGACAAAATATCCGCTCATTTGTTTTCATGCTCTGGAAAGTTTTAAACGTTTCTCAGAATCTAAATTAATTCCACCGATGATTATTTTTTATTTAACCGTAGATTTTTTGGAGATTTCATTCGTTGATATTGTAAGAATACAAAGAAATTAATTACACTTACCCTCTCATCTGAGGTATGAGTAATTGACTTGTGTGTTTGCATGTATCCACGCATCCTCTTCGCAACTTTCGGATCTTTTCCCTTGTTTCCGGAGAATCTCTAGCTGTACCGATGTGCACCAGTAGTTCCCGAAACTGAGCCACTTGGCTATTGATTTCGACCACCAACTGTAAGTAGAACAATTTAATGAGTTGAAAACATATTAATCGGTTAATATGTATTTTGATGTAGGTACATATATTATTATCGATGTGGCTTCATTAAATTGAAGTTATAATACAATGATAATAAACGGATGTGATAGAACATGAAATACTATTTGAAAATGTATATAGAATTCATTTAAGTAATTTAAAAACGCTTGATAATTGCTAATTTATGTTAAAGAATCTTCCAATATATTAAACATGACGTGTAAAAATTAAAATAAGGTTACGTAGGTATAATATAATTGTATACTAGTGGATTCACCAAGTATGTTCTCCTCATTTTTCCTTTGGATAATGAATTAATTCAAATTTTGGTTTTGAATTTTTTAAATATACTTAAAGACCATATTTTAAAATGCTTGAAGTTGTTTGTACTACATAAAGAATATCCTGTAGGGATACAAACTTCTGTTTTTTAAACGAGAAACCCCTTCCCCAACCTTTCACTGTAAATCAGTTAGTGGATATTTTTTTAAAAATTTTACAAGTACCTAAATCATAATTTCAATAATTCGTTTAGTAAGATGTTTATATTTCATGAGAGTAATAGTCCTTAAAAATGGTTTTACAACAAAATGAGATGTGCCATAATAGATCTTGTATTTATATTACTCTTTGATAATTTTAACAAATTATAAATATTGATAGGAAACACTTAAATATTCAAATCACCATAGCCCCAATATATTCTAAGCCCATTATCATGGACTTTTTATCCATTGTACACAAAGTTAAATAACTCTAAAAGTGCTCGTTCAAATTTAGATTTTTTTTGATATTTAAAAATTCCAAAAAATATATTTTCTCGATATCTGCAGGATTGAAAGAGAAAAAGAGGGTAAAAATGCTTATTAAATCACCCTGTATAGTGTATATAATATAAGTAGATATATATTTCTTCATTTTCCAACTTAAATTTATTTTTTGTTTTTAATGATACGTTAAAAAATTATAAAAATATTATACCGGGACAATGGGGTTGTTTTATTTACAATGTTTGAACTCATAAAAGTTGTTGAAAGTCGTGATGTCCAACTTTTCAAGTAATGATATGTAAATAATAATTATATTTTGCAGTAAGCGAGTGAAATGGGATGCCTGTTGTCTTAACACTTTGTATTGTATGCCTACAAAGAAAAATAAACAGTGACTAAATATGCTTCAAGGACATAATTTTATTTTGTGCTTTAGGTATAAAATACACATGTATAAAATATGCATTTTAAATATATAAATGTATGTTGATAAAAATTGATTCAAGTTTTTGATTTATTCACTGAATAATAATAAACTAAACTGTAAAAAAACTTAAGTAGGTGGCTTATTTAAAAAGTGTAATTGTATTTTAAAATTGTATATTGTGTCATTACATGTTATAAACATTACAATATTAATACAAAAACATAGTAAGTAACTATAGTAAAATATTTATTTTCTAATATGATATGTAAATTGCTTATTATGTCAATAATATTTTACAACATCTGTTCGATACATTTTCATTTTTCAATAAATGTATTGTTATGACAACAAATTGTATTTTTAAATTAGTTTAACTAATTTTGCAATTTGTATGCAAACCATGATAATATGACTGTATATCAGTTTCACACATACTCCGATTACAGTTGATGGTTTTGCTATCAGCTGGAATACTCAAAATACATTATCCGACCGAAATATACTATATTATATACGACTATGAGTGCTTGTAACCTAATCGAAAACAAAAATTTCGATCAAATCGTTTTTTGTGATCGTTGTTCTGTTATTTGCAAACTGAAAAAAAAAATATGCTACTGGTTTAAATTATTACTATAATATACACTTCCAGTATTATAGATAGTGTACGTCTGCATGCAACTTGGTCTAGTCAGTGGTATGTCTATATAAACAATAGGCACTACCTCTGTTAATATTGACACAACTTTATGTTTACGCATCCATGATATAAAATTACAAAAATAATAATAGCAATATGAGTTACACAAAACAAAACATTTTTGCCCCCATAAATTGCCTTTGAATCGTATTTAGTAATTACACTGTACTTATTGGTAGATTTAGGATATTGATCAGCATGTATATTATACTTACTCCACAATTTTTATTCTCCGTTTGAACACAGGATTGAAATTATATATATACATACCGAAATCATATAGTTTGACAAATAGGAATGAACAATATTAATTCAACGATAAATGAAAATTTAATAAGTGCTGATTTTGTGAACATGAAAATAATAATAATAATAATAATACATTGATTATAGTTGAAATTTTAATCATTTCTATTTATAGACATCAATAATATGTTCACATATCACTGTAAAGTACTGCATATTTGCAAGTATTTGTATATTACCATATTATTATTTATTGCAATGTTGGTGAAATTTTCTTTTCACTTAAATTAAAATGTCAAGTTTATACATTTTACTCAATATCACCCACTACTTTTATTATATTTATTCGTGAAATATTAACAATACAATATTGAAATAATAATAAATGTATATGAATTAAATGATTAGTGACGAGTGCATTATTGCTAAATGCATTTAACGAAATCAATGAAATTGTTTTGTAGTGTTTTAGTGTTCCAAAATTTTAATTACATATTTACACTAATACATTATTATATGCTTAAAAAGGCCATTCAAATCTCACTATGCGAAAATGGGTGAGATTATACGAGAACTCACTGTAATCCTCACCATTTTTTTGACTTAAAATTCGAAAGACCCTGTATATAGATAGACAATGATATATAATATGCACTCAGTTGAGTTATCTTATTAAATATTTAAATACATTCTTCAACTTAGCATTAATCTTACAGTGAAAAATGATCATTAATTTACTTAATTTTGGATTGAATATGGACTAAATATTATCACTCATTGTTTTAAAAAATTTAATTTAAAAATAGTAATTTTATTTCTATTATTAAATTTGTTATCTATCTGTGACTTATTTACTCAATAGTTTTAATTCAATTTTTTTTAAACTTGTTTTAATAAAACTCACTAACGGATTAAAATACCTCCATCAGTTGATTTATTTATTTTAATAAACTAGTTTTTTTTTTTTTTCTATTAAGACATCAAACAAATTATAAATATTGATTTACACAATTTGGTTGAAGATATATTCGGAAACAATTGATGTAATAGAGACAATAAACTGTTATATAGTGAGACACATCGAGTGCTGGGGTTAACAAAAAAATGGTTTCTTTTTAAATACATTTTTTCTGTCAAATTGAGTCAAGTTTAGTCTGTTTAAGACCGGTGAACATTCCTAGATTGCACTAGAACGCACGAATGCGATACAGGTAAACGTGAAAAAGATCTTCCACAAGATTTCTATGTACAACCACACGTTTCAAAGTTAATCATAATCGTAATTAAGTTTATTCAACGTGAGAAAATCGTATATTTTTTTATACCGTTCCGTGATCAGAATGGCTTATTCTGCACTAATTAATTTTTTTTTGTCTATTTGTTCATACAACAGAGATAATACAACTGTTACGCACAAAACTACGTTACGGCCAGAAGATAAGTAAACGAAGTCATATGTTCCACCCTCCATTGTTATATATAAACATTAAATACATATATATTAGTATTGGCTGATAAAATAACAGCTATTCGAAAAGTCGAATTCGCAAACGGTCAGAAGGATTGAAGTAATTTCATTGTACGGTATGGAGTGTGTTTGACGGCCACCTGGAAACGGCTATTCCCCGACTAGCCAGGGCGTATATCTTTGCTTACAATATTGTCAATGAGAAACCCTTTTCAGTCTTATTGGAATTGATTATTGTCCCGTGACCTAGCTTTTTTTGTTCGTCACATTCCGCTTTAAGAATTTACGGATAGCGTAGAAATAAAGTTTCAACAAACAATATAAACTCATAATACGACATATTGTATGTATACTGAGATATTATGGCCCTCGAATGTTTTTAAATATTATCGTTCGAGATATTTTAATTTGGTATGAATAATAATAATTGTCATGTGAATACAATTTAAGACGATGATATAAATACGTTTTTGTAATCTCGGAATAGATCACTTAAACATTTTTCATTGATTTATTATGAATTTTAAAGTTATCCAATTCTTTTTTCTTAAACATAAAATTACTGAAAAAAATCATGTGATGCTTTGTCTGGTATTTTTTACTCGTAACTCTCTCGTTTTTTGCGGTTCGGCAGACGATATTGAACGTATAGATACAGATAAAATACGAGAGACTGAGTAATAACACGACAAAAAAAAAAGAAAAAGATAAGGTTGTGAAAACCATGTGCTTTTCGTCTTATATTTATTATATACCGCAAGCCATTTAAAATCCATCTTAAGAGTTTGTTATTATGTGGTCATATTTAAAATTTTTTTCGATAATCTACATTAAACTGCGCATGTACAAACATTAAATGGTTTTTAATGTTAAAATAATTCCTCTATCATAATTTTATGTTAGGAACGAAATTGAAAACTCTAACACTGATTAAAATAACTAATAATAATAGCACGGTAATGACGTGGAACAATAACGATTGATATTAATTATTCATGCGTCGAACCAGATCTAATTCTGACGATCACTTTACTATAAGTAAATTATACTTTAAGTTTGTTATATTATACCCGTGGTACTAACATGCAGAATTATATTATTTTCAACTATATATGTACCTAAGATGCTAATATATAGGTACCTAGGAAAGTATAGGCACGATATACGATTCTAAGTATTTAGTTAATCATCGTAAATGAATCTATGTAGTTGCATTTTAATAAATAATAATATAATAGACAATTTGTGATCCTTCAATATTTTATATATTTTTTAAATAATGGGTATACGTATATATATATATATGTATATATTTTAATTTAAAACTTGTAGGCTTCAACATCTGCAGCCCTTAGCCCTCAA